TCTCTGTGGCTGGCATTTTCAGAGGACAGCACTCTGTGCTGTGGCCACAGAGACTGGCAAAACGTTAGGAAGAACAACCTTCAGAACACGGCCAAAGAGCCCGAAAAACCCACAACAACCAATCTTTAGTTAGTTTGCAGCAAGTTGTCTTAACTTTTTAAACTTCTTTTAAAGCTTGACACGCTGAAGAATAACGATCCTTTTGCTCCTGGTGGAACTGCTGTCACTGTATCAAATGATCCAGGTAAGGGAATTTTAGATATCCTAAAGTAAAAAAGGTTGGCTGCACCCCATCTGAGGGGGCATTGTAACAGCTTGTAAAGCTGTCATACTATATGTAGTTTAATGCCATCTCCTTACAAGCAATGAATTATGCAGTTAGTACTTAATGTGGGAGATGGCCTATCTTTTAAATTGCACATTGGACATTTTCAAATATTATAGAGGTAGTATTGTGCATCTCTTAACCATAGTTAGTCTTTATTTCTGGAGATATTTGAAGTATGCCTAATTATATCCCATATGAAAAGTTTATGTAGACAGCTCTTTAACTTTATGTGATTTCAGAATTAACAAGCCAGTTGACAATTGTGGTCATTGATAGATCTTTGTAAAATTAATCTTGTTGGATGTGCATGGAATTCTCTTTCTCTGTGGGTGCAAAGATGAGATCCTATATTAGGACACATCCTCCACTGTCCCATAGTTTTTACCTATGGTGGAAGCATCATCCCTAGTAAACAGATGTATTATTGGGGTGGGGGTGGGGAGCCAGATTGTGGCAATAATTCCAAAGTGACAGAAAGAATTTATTTGAAGAGCCTATGTGTTAGGATTCCTGTAAGTTATATTGTTTATTTATTTAATTCATGAATTAATTAATAATGTTAATTCAGGTTTAAATGTTAACACCAAATAATTATTCTTCCCATTTCTAATGATTAACATCAACAAATCGACGTACAGACCTAACATTCCAAGCTGTGGTGTGGATGGATAGTTTGGAGAATTAGGTTAGGTTATTGGGATTTTTCTTTTGCAGGTATGACTATTGGGGTAAGGGAGGATTTTTTTGTTCCTGCCAGAGTCTGCCTTTTCACTTATGTTCTTTTCAATATCTATGGAAAGAGACTGAAGGTTTTTATCTAGATCTTTGGAGTTGGGTGCCATTAACACGTTGATCTCATGAATGAAATAGCAAAGAATGGCTGTTCTCTGACCTTCATCAGTGTTTTGGCACTCTGTGCAATGGGGTTGAAACAGGTTGCAATTGACTCTGGACCAGTCGAGAGAGGCTGCTGGTGAGAAATCTTGGAGAATTCAAATTGTTTTTTTAAAACTGAAGCAGTGAAATTCATGGATATTTGAAGTGTAACCACCGGCAGCAGTAGAGTACTCAGTCCCTTCCTAGCAGTCTAAATAACTTTCACAGAATAAGAGCAGAGTACCATATTTTTAGAGATCCTTTCAAATATGGTCATAGCATATCCTTGTGCTTTGCAGATTTCTGTAGAATTAGTTTCTAGCTATTGCCTTTTAACATTCTGCTTGGTGTTAAACAGAGTACAGGTTTGGCTTTTATGGTGCAAAATGTGAAGAACATCTGCAGGTCAGTTCAGCCCTGGCCAGCATAGCTTATGAGACAGGATGAAAGGACATTCAACACAATAGTAGTTTGAAGGCTGTATCATCCCCATCCCTCATCTAGAGAAACACAGATGCTTTGGCATCATATGCTGAAGAACGTTTCCATCTGGCCTTAAGTGGAATAGAAGGGACTTTGAATGTGGTTGCAGGGAGTCAGTTGGTTGTAATCACTGAGAAACTATTTTGCAGGGGTTACATAAAGTTAATGTCTACATAAACCTTACACGTGGTAACATGGGATCACATGATTCCCATTGCTGCCATTGTGCAGTTCACTGGCAGAAGTACTTCATGGATAGCACTTTTGCCTTAGCGCTTTTACCATGGGCTTACTATCAACTTATGCCTACATAGGATTTTGTGCTATATCTTCACAAGTAGATTAATAGTCAGCTCAGCAATGAACAAGTGCCTTCTTAAGGCCAAGCTCCTGTGGATTTTACTATTATTCATTTCTGTTTAGGAGAGACAAAGGAAGAGAAGCAAGCCCACTCACTGTCTTGAGCTCACCAGAGAAGAGGCAGAATATAAATGAAACAGACAACTTGCAATAATACTTAGCATCACCATAGAGTTCATTACCACAATATGTGAGGGTTATGCTACTGGGTTCAGTTGAATATCTTCAAGCCCTGAGTAATTTTTAATGAAGGATGTCCAATCAGCGAACAGTAGCCATGGCAGGCCACATGGGGCTTCTACTATTACAGTGTATTGCTGACTCCTGTTGGAATTGGAGTTATGGACACCATAGACCCTTGCTCTGATATAGCAAGGCAATTTTTTTTGTTGTTTTCATGTCTGTCTCTCAGATTTGAAGGTAATCATGCATTTTATTGTGGCAATGTATAGATAAAGGAATAAAAGAAGAAGCTGATTTTAAAAGCTGGGTTTTCGTAGCAGTTATCAGGTGTGGCTGTGGCCTTGTTATTATTTTGCAGTAAAACGGTACAGAATATTCTGCCATCAAGAAGTTTATTTGGCCTAAACTTGTGTGAGCTGAAGTTCATAAAAGTGTGTGCTGAATAAAACTTAATCCTTTATGCTGCTTATATCAAATAGAATAAAATTATTTGAATTTTATTTGTGTTATTAGATACCCTGATTTAGAATTTGAATTGCACGTTATCAGGAGCTAGGTATGTGTGAAAAGAGTAGAATTATGCCACCTTTTAGATGGACCTCCACAGTTTCCTGGAATATCTTTTACTTCAATTGCAGTTAAGCAAGCTTGAAGAGGATGACTGTCAGATTTACACAGCAGCTGCCCATATCTGTTCAAGATGCAAAACATTCAGTAAATTGACTTGCTTTTCATCTTTTCCTAGTCAGCAAATTTACTTATTCCTCTTTTCTGCTTGCTTGCTTGCCTGCTTACTTTAGCTACAGATCCCTTTGCCTCTCTGTTTGGAAATGAATCATTTGAAGGTGGATTTGCTGACTTCAGCACATTGTCAAAGGTAATCTGAAAATTATTTAAAGCTTATGGAAAAAGCATGAATTTTCTGCAGTAACTGAGAAGCTTCTACAGTAGAAATCTCTAACACTTGAACTTTCTCAGTTAGTATAACAGGTTTATGCTTTGTACTGTAGTACATATCAGAACATCAACAAATGCCAGATATAAATCAACAAATTTACTTCCATTTTGTGTTGCTGTTTCATTAGCTGTGGGACTATTTATATTGTGAATTGGACTGAAACAATACATTTATTAGAAAATCACATTGCTGCAACTATAGGCACATGTGGGCCTGTTAACCGCCTACCTGTCCTTGCACTGATTCTATTGAAATATTAATTTATATAGCAGTGATGATAATTCACTTAGTTTCAGAACCTGTTAAATTTTGCATATTTCTACAATAGGAAGGCATTTAAGCAAGCATGATAGACTTATTTGGATTCATACATTCTGTAACTGTGGTCTTACCACTGAAAAATGATTGACCAGAATCCAGATCTCCAGTGACGCTGTGATTGGGTTCTTGTTCTAAATTGACCACTTCCTCTTCCTTAATGTGATTAACCACAGGAGACGAAATACCATTAACTGAATGTTTAATTTCCATGGGAGGGGAGGGGTGTATTACAACTTCAGCAGGACCAACAGGACCGTCAACCATAGGTGATCCAGTCCACATCATAGGCAGTCCTGTCCACATTACATTGTCCTTCAGCGTGACGAAATCCCAAGCCTCTCCCGATCTGTAGGTTTTTTCAGGAGATTGCTCCTTACCGCACAAATCGTCCCACAACATGAGTGGCGTGCCCAGTCTCCCTCACGAGGTGTCCCCTAGTGGGGATAGGGTCTGGTCGAAACACCCTCTTCCAGGGACCCTTCTCCCTCAGGTAGGCGTATACAGTCCATTCTAGCGGATCTAATTCTCTCAGCTGGACCTCTATGCCTGCTGTTCCTCATCCACATGTGTGTCCACCTTCTCTCTACTCTTTTTCTCTCTTTCTGTTAGGAACAGAGGACACATAAGGTCTCCCCAGATACTTTTTCCCTTCTTCTCTCCCAGAATGATCCACTCCTCTGAACCCCAACTTCTTCTTCCCTCCCTTCCCCTTCTATCTCCATCATCATCAAAAAGCCTTCAGTTACCACCTGTCCTGTTCCCGCCTTTTTTTCCCTCTACCCCTCCTGTCGCCTGACCTCCCCCTAGAGTCAGGTCCTGAACCATCGCAGGTAAAATGCACAACATGGTGTTGATTCTTTCCGCCCAAGATGATTGAGGGGACAGCTCACTTCCAGGCTTAACCATTTTAACTGGTTCCTCTTCACAGACGCTATCAGCTGTAGCCATTTCAGAGAATTAAAAGTTTCCCATTCCTATCCCTGCCCAGGCTCTGGGGGTACCTAGGAATCCTTTTTTTCTCTCCCTGGTTTTTAAAAATTCCCTGCCCCATTCCATGGCTGCTAAAAGATTCTTAGGATGAAGGGAAGTCCTAGAGAATGCTTGGAGCCAGCAGGGAGGAATGGGAAGCTTTTAATTTATTGAAATGGCCACAACATGGCTATGGCTGATGATGACAGCAGAGATTTAATGTGTTACCTATGCCAGCAGGATTCTGGCCAACATGTGAGTTGGGGATAGTTGGAAGCAGGAGGGATTATGTACAACCATGAGTACATGGTTATTATGTGGTATGGCACACACACACTCTTATTTTTTCTGATGATAATCAGGCTGGTTCAGTGCCGGAAATCCAGGCCTTATCTTTAACTGCTTTTGAACTGTGTAGGTAAAACACATCATGAAAAATCATGTACATGATTGATTCATTCATTCATTCATTTATTTTCTGGCTTTTACTCTGCCCATCTCGAGTCAACGAATCTACTCTGGGTGGCTTACAGTCCGAATATAAAACAAAATTAATGATTGGTTTACAATGCTGTGATTTTACAGGGCCTTACCAATAACTATGTCGCTTAAAAAGTTAAAAATGTACTTTTCATAAATGTACTTCATTTTCCTTATTCATATTTCCTACTTCTTTAAGTAGGATGGATCTACAAGGAAGTCAATATTTAAATTTAAATAAATTTTAAAAAGGCTAAAATAAAGAGACAGTAATTAAAGGCAGTAGTAAATTTAAAAAAAAAACAGCTAAATTTCTCAATAGAGTAAATGTGGAAGGAATTTCTTTTCTACTTTTGAGGATCACAAATGCTCTACAGCAGAAAAGGTCAGAATGGAGCATGTGGAGTTACTTACTCTGAAAAGAACTGCAGAACTTAAAAAGGCCATTCAGGGAGTGTGCTCTTCTGAGACACTGTAATGGAGAAGGGACCTGGAACAGAACCTGCAAGAAAAGTGTTAAATCATAGGAGGCTTAATCAACAGTCACTCAGATTTTCTGGAACCAGAATCATAAAAGTCCAGACCAGTATTTTGAACTGTATTAAATATTTGTGCTCAATATTATATATCACTTCAATGGATCTATTGTATTCCTTTGGGGGGGGGAATAACAAGATGGTGGCTTGTTAAGGGGGATATGGAAATGTCAAAAGGAGTTAAGCAAATTGTAGGTGATAGCAATAAGAGGAAGGTGTAATGGTTAACCAACCAATAAAATGCAAAATCACAAGCTCGATTTGTCAGACTTGCCTTTTCTATTTTTACTTTATAAGGCAAACAATGATGATCCCTTTAGTTCATCTACAACGGGCTCTATGAAGAATGTGGTCATAACCAAAAATGTGTTTGAGGAACCTCAAACTAAAAATGAAGATGTTCCTCCTGCCTTGCCACCCAAAACTGGAACACCTACTAGACCTTGTCCTCCCCCACCTGGTAAGGGACAACATTAAGTAAGTGTGTATGTCTGTGTGCACTTGTGTGTTAGGGTTAATTTTTTTTAAGATGTCTTTATGGCTGTGAGCATGGTATGCTGTTTTGTTTTGTTGAAAGGACTTGTAATCTTAATTCCTATACAGGTAATTTGTATTAAAGCTCTCAGCTAGCTTTTTGTATTTAAATCATATTTGCTTTAACTGTGAACTTAAATAGCTCTTAATAAGGCTGTTACAAAAACTTTCCTGGGCAGCAAACTGAATGTTTTGAAGTGGGCTGGTTTAAACTGGTTTTAAAGTAGATTTGAGAAAGCGATGTATCTGATCTCAAGGGAAGGACAGGTTTATACCCATTCAAAAGGATTCACAGAATGTGAATACCGGCAAAAGAATCCCAATCTTTGTGAAGATCCTGCACAAGCTGCATTGATTTATAATAACTAGTACTAGGTATTTGTGGTGGGGGTTGAAAAACAAGGTGTGTTCTAGATCTGGGTGAGTATTTCTGCCACATTCATAATTATGCTAAAGTGGTTATTTTGATGTAGGAAAAAGACCTATCAACAAATTGGAGTCTTCAGATTCCTTTAAACTGAATGATCCTTTCCAGCCCTTCCCAGGCTGTGATGGTCCCAAAGAACAGGAAGCTGACCCATTTGCTCCCACTGGTGTGTGCAAAGAAATGGACACCAGCAATTTTGCTAATTTCAGTGCTGTAAGTAAAACAGGATCGGGAGGCATCAAATTAACATTTGTAACAATTTTGTAAAGAAAATTCTGAATGTTTCTATAAACCTTTCAGGCTCGAAGTGAGTAAAATGGGTTCCATACAGGAATGCAACGATGTTCAGCATGTCCCAATATCAGTTGTGCCTCTCTTTAAAAGTATATTGTGACATATTTCTGGGACAGTTGCAGCAAGTTACAGTATACTATTAGCTGCACGTTAATGTATTATTTAACTTCACATGGATAACTGTTGCCTCTGGAAGTTTCCTGGTTTTTTTACTAAGTTATAATTGCACATTTTGCCTCAGATTTTTAGTGTCTATAGCAAACTGCAGAACAGAGTTTATTCTCAGTGCATATGTTCATGTCACAGTCAGGCAGTGAGAAAATAAACAGCACATCCTTTAATCCTGTACTGGACTCGTAAATATAAATTGATAGTGTGACAAGGAAATCTTGTGCCTGAGCTCCTTCCTTGGCAGGCAGCCACTTGGCAAAGCCTCAGCTGCAGCTTCCACTGTAAAATATGTTTGGAGAAGAGTACTGGCCCAGACAGCATTTGCATGAAGCACAGTTTCACAGGCAGTGCCATTCTTCAACCCATTAATAGTGGAAGAGTGGAGAGCCTTGGTTGCACAGAAGCTCTAGCGAGGACTTTGATATGCTTAGGAGACTACAGTGGGGTCTTGACTTGAGAACTTAATCTGTATTGGAAGGCGGTTCTCAAGTCAAAAAGTCTGTAAGTCAAGTCTCCATTGACCTACAGTGCATTGAAAACCGATTAATCCCGTAACAGGCCGTTTTTGTTCCATTTTGGTTTTTTTCTGGTCTGTAAGTCAAATCTCAGTCTGCAAGTCAAACCTAAATTTTGCAGCCAGAGAAGTCTGTAACTCAAAAAGTCTGTAAGTCAAGCCGTCTGTAAGTCAAGGGTCCACTGTAATTCAAGGGAATTACTATCTCAGCTGTAGACACTAAACCCCTAGTGGCATAGAGGTGTTAACACAGCATGCTACAAGCCTATACAACACTGTGACAGCAGATAGTTACAAACGAAAACATTTTTTTCTTTTCTAGGGAACATGGAAGTGAGCATCAGGTATCACAAACTAAAAAGCATGAAACCAGCCCTCCCACCCACCATCCTGGCAAACAGCTATCTAGGTCATGCTCTAAGAACACACACCATGAAATTTGAGAATGCTTCCCAACATGTGTTTATGCATGTATCTTATTCTGATTCTTATCTTGCTCTTCTGCCACTATTATTTGTCATGGTGTCTCACAGCAGTAGGAATAATTACAGAACAGTAAAAATATGAGGAAACTGCTATTAAAAACTTTATAAAGAAATCAGCTAAGAAGCAGATGAGACCCAATTAGCAGTTATCAAGAAGCAGGGAAAGTGAATCAAACTACAGTAAATGGCCAAAGTCATGTCTAAACAAAAGTTTTTTCCTGCCAGCAGAAATCTATCAGTTGGAATTTAAGAAAGCTGTTCCACAGCCTTGGCACAGTCATTCAGAGAGCCAGCTTTTACATCCTTTGTAAACAAAATGATGTTGGCCAGATGTGGAGAAGGCCTTTTCATGACAGTATTAATAACCATGCAACTTCATAATAGTAAAGGTAGTCCTTCACATAATGTGGTCCAAAGGCACATAATAATTTAAAGATCACTAGCATGAAGCTCTTGTAGTAAGGAAATTACATGTTTCTAGTAACCAGCCAGGGTCAGCAAACTGAACATGGCATCCCAAAACATCCGCAGTTTATAAACACCTTCCAAAGTTATTTCCTTATAGGGCATCCTATAATAATTAAACTGAGCTTAAACTGATGCAGGTAGCACTGTGGACGAGTCTGATGTTTTGAAGAGTAGGTGCAGTTGGCATACTAGCCTCAGCTGTGTTGAAAACACACCAGAGCCACTGCTGACACCTGAGAAGTCAATAATTAGGAAACGTTGTGTTACACATTCAATATAGTTGCGCACTAGAGGCTGAAGAATGTTTAAAACCAAGCACTTTGTTAATTAACAGATAGTCACAGTGAACAGTTTGAGATTTTTCTTGAAATACTTTCTTAGACAAGGTGGGCTGTATATTTTAGGATGTGAATGAGGAACACATTTGGCCCTTTGGATGCTTGGAACGCAAAGGTTCACATCTTGTTTCCAGGTTTTCTCCCTGAACAATGTTGCTGCTGGCCTTACAAGCGTTTCTCTAAACCACACTTGTGGTCCTGATCCTTGGATACTTTTTTAAAGTATTTTTTTTTCTCTTTGCAGTTATGTGAATACATTAAAATAGCTGTGTTATTTTATATGAGCAGTCAAGCTCATATAGTGAACATGCTTTTTAACAAGCTATAACAGATGTACCCTTTCAGTTTTCCTTCAGTGGGTGGGATAAGGAAAAATTACCCCTTTACGATGGTAAAAAATAAACCTGCAGATAATGGGACTAATCTGAATGATGCTAATAATATCTGGAGCTAGCTCAGAATCCTATTTGACACTTTGACTCTTATTGGCTGTTCCACTTCACAAATGTACTGCTTCTCTCTTTTAGTATCCTACTGAAGAAGATATGATTGAATGGGCGAAGAGAGAAAGTGAGAGAGAGGAGAAAGAGCGACTTGCAAGGTTAAAACAACAAGAGCAAGAAGACTTAGAGCTAGCTATCGCACTCAGTAAATCTGAGATATCAGAAGCATGAAAAATTGCCTCATCCATTTCTCCCTTTCCTTGGATAACTAAGCTATAAGTAAAGTTGATCAGAGGATACATACAAACATGGAAGTGTAAAAGGCTTTAAATTCCTGCAAATGTGATTTTTGAGCAATTTATTTGATATTCCTTTTCATATTCACTAATCTCGTCAGACAATTTAATATAGGAAGCTTACAATTCCCTTTATTTTGGAAATCTTAATTACTATAAACCATTACACCAAAGTAGGTTCTTTTAATATAAAATAGATAGCTCTGTATTATTCTACAGTTAGGTTATTGAGGCACAACAATCTGCATTTTGAACGGTCTCTGAAAAAAAATAAAGTCTCAAGCCTAGTTCCTTTTTTAATTTGCACTGATTATACTCCTTGTGTAGTTGAAGATCTAAAAGGGTGTGTGGGACTACAAGAAAATAATGCATTGTGTCGCCTTTCGTCAATGCAGATGGCTGTGTAATATGTTACTGGGATTTGTTGTTAAAATTATTAGGAAGTTTGTTACAAATTATGAATAGCTATACTTCAGAAGAGTTTCTGTGATGCTAAGTTATTTAGTTCTCCCAGGCAACTTGGATAGCAACATTCACTTTCACAACATTCACAAACAAAGATGATTATAACCAATCAGACTGGTGAAAGCACATAAGATCTAGCTTACAAATATTCACGTAACTAGCCATTGCTGTGATAATCCAACTTCTAAAACATTCTAGTTATTAAACCTATGTTTTACAGAGATGACAGCAGTTGATACTAGGCAAATCGAGTATATTTTCACTATTGCTTCATTTTATGAGGCTCTTGATAACTAACAGAAAGTTAGGTTCCAGATGCAATAAATGTTGTCTGAAACTTTTAACTGCCAATTTACATGTTCTTGGGGGGGCAGTTAAATGGAAAATTGGGATATTTTCCTCTGGGAGATGAATAAAATTAGACTGTTTGGCCAAGCCTATTGTCAGGAAATCTGGTGTCCCACTGCTAATTGAGCCAATTTCTTCTGTGGAATATGCAACTAAACTGGCATAAGGACTGCTGAATTTGAACTAGGGTAGGAAGTAGATATAGCTTACAACAGTCAGATGCTGTTATGTATAATTTATTGAATGCCAACTGATAGTTGCACCTTAAACTGAAATTTTCTTTTATGGTCACTGAGTCAAAATAAGATTGAATGTTAATGAAAATAACTTATTCTTATTCTGTCCTATGTTTTTTTTCCTGCAAAGTTCATTCAGAATTATTCCTTTCCCATACTTAATACATGCACAATTTGACTGCAGCCTTTCCAAACACTGTGGTATTCTTGCCTGACAGAAAGAGTTTTAAACTTTTTTTTCCTACTGCAAGGGGTTGCATAATCACAGTTGTCAGGCTAAAACCTTCCAGGAATCTCTTGATCCTTCTGGAAGAATCTTTAGAAGAAGGTAGTTTTTCTTAGTTTTCTTTAAAACTTTGAGAATGGTTCCAAGAAACTTTTTCTCTTGTACTGGAAAATTACTATTTGGAAACACATCAGAAAAGTAGCCTGACAAAACCTCTTGCAAGTATTAATATGCATAATTTATCTACACACACTTTATAATAACATTAATCGTGCATATTGTATGTTTAATTGGCCTTCATAGATTTCTTACTTTTTTTGTTAAATGTATACTCAGTGGACCAATATTTGTATATATATATATATATATATTATACTATACATATTCAAGCTTTCTTGTATAGGATTGAAAGTTCTGAGTCACTTGATGTTACATTTCATGTTACTGACTGATTACAGAACCTTTACTCGAAGGCTTCTAAATAAACCACTGCTATGTCAGCTTCAATGGCATTACTGTTAAAGTTTTAAAAGGCTTTTAAGAACTTGTTCGGGGGGGGGTTAGCCTGTGTTTATAGACCATTGTTTAAAAATTCTAAAAATAGCCTGTAATTATGAATAAAACAGTTTAAGTATTTAAGATGGATTGGTATTTTCTATTTTATTTTACTTACAAGAATAGTTTGTTGAGATATGCAACATTGCAACTTTGCTTCTAGTTTGAAAATTATTTTGTATCGAAAATGCTGAATATAATGTAATATGCAGTCCAACCTAATAAGCAAATAACAACTCACTTTGAGAACTACATTTATGTGGTGTTGTGTATTTTCACTTCCACTGTATGATGTGGAATCATGAACTAAATCAAGGACTATAGAAGAGGTGAAAGCAGTGTCACTATGAATTTATTGGCCAAAACTAGAATATTTTGATCACATAGTGAAAAACAAGATGTACATCTTGTTAAAGTTGATCCGTAAATGTAATATATATGGGCAGATATATGCAGGAAGGAGAACTAACTGCTGAAGAACCTGGGACATTGATTTGGCTACAGTAGTACTGTTTTTTGTTTAGAGTTGCTGCACATCAAAGTCACAGTAGTATCAAAGTCACAGTACTACAACCATATCCAAACTGCAACAAGAGACATCCAACCTAACTCTTTTTAGTCCTGTATAAAAGGAAACAATGTTAAAACACACAGAAATACTTACGCTTCAAAATCCATGTTTCCTAAACAAACCATGAGTTTGTGCTGGAAGATTATTCTCCCAGGTTAGAAGGCTAAGTGTTAATGAAGTATCTGGTTTAAAGCCAAATGCAAGTATAGATGCTGATGTGCATGAAAGCAAAAGGAACAAGGAATCTGAGAAGTATGAATCAAGAGAAACTGGATTGTAAAAGAAGAAATTCTAGGCCCTCTCTGTGGTTGCTCTCAGGTTATGGAATGCTCTCTATTGGGAAGTTAGGTTGGCGCCTCCCTTTTATCCTTCTGCCAACAGTTTAAGATTTACCTCTTCAAGCAGGCTTTTGACAATCATAACTGAGCCCCTAAATGCCATTTTTGTTGAGTTTTCAAAGTTTCAAATGTTTTTAATTAATGTTTGCTTTTTTAATGTACTATATACAGTAATTTATTTTTAGTTCTGCTTTGTTAACACTCAGCCACCTTGGGTCCCTTTATCAAGAGAAAAGTGGCCTATAAATAGGACAAATAAAAAGAAATAAGAAATTTGAATATTGTGAGTGAACTACGTAAAGTGGAACAGAATAGGATATTTTCAGCCAGATAAATTGCAATGTCGAAACTGTAAACTCAGAACAGTGTGGCTCTAACAGTTGAGATGTGATACAGGCAGTTAGGGGTATAATACAATACCTAACTGAATGATAATTCAGAATTCATGGAAACCTATCAACATAACCATCATTCAAGTTTATGCTCCAACTATAAACGTTGAAGAAAAAAATTAAAAGCATTTATGCAAAATGTCCAAGAGGAAAATGATCACACACCCAAATGAGATGTATTGATAATCATGGTGATTAGAATGCAAAAGTATAAACTAAGGTAAAAATGAAACCATTGAAGAATTTGGCTTAGGAGTTAGAAATGAAGTAGGAGAGTGACTCGCAGAATTCTGTGTAGCCAACCGTTTGCTTCAAGCAAATCTATGCTCTGGTGTGAGGAGTCCGAGCCAAGCCCTTTTCTCCCTCAGAGTTAGGCCACAACAACCTGGCCAAACACAATAGGTACTCATGGGTGGGGCTTTCAATTCCTCCTTGGGTGACCCGCCGGTGCCCTTCAAGGCCTGGGGGGGGGGAGGTCGCTGTTCTGACTTAGGCTTCTGAAGGTTGAGGTTTCGCTGCTCTAAAGACCAGGAAGAGGAGCCCGGCGGGGAGGCTCCTTTTTCTTGGCCCGGGCTTGGGAGAGGAGCGCGCTTCTTGGCTTTCGAGCTGGTGAGAGGTTGCAGTGAAGTCACCAACGAGTTGTGTTGTAGGGAAAACTTTGGGAAATGAGGGCCAGAATGGGCGAATATCCCTCCTGTTTTCCTCATGGGTGTGCAACATATTGAGAAGAGCGGCAGGGCCAAGAAAAAAGCCCAGGTACCTTCGGATGGGAGGATGCCCGCAGATGACAGGCAAGGGGTGATTTGATCCTGGCCTGCGCTTAGGATGCCTTGCAGCTGAGGCGGCTGCTCTTTACTCTTTGGTGGCTGGCCTATTGATGCAGTGGCGCAATTCACTTGTTGAATGTTTGCGTGGCCAACGCTGTTGAAGGCATTGAAATTTGTATTGGCGGGGGTCTCGCTTCCACCCTGCTTGGTGTAAACTGCCTTGACTTTTATAGAAAGACAGGTTATAAAGGTCAGAAGCAAAAACACAGCAATGTACAGTTATGTGTGGCTGCACTGACATTGTCCAAAGTTCTAAGAGAGGGCTTCCCAACCTTTGGGCCCCCAGATGTTCTTAAGAGGACAACTCCCAGAAATCCTGGTCAGCACCGCTAGCAGTGGAGGCTTCGGGGAGTTTGTCCAAGAATACCTGAGGACCCAAGGTTGAGAACCACTGCTCTAAGGGTTTGTTATTAAAAGAGCATGGCAAGACCTCAATTTGAAAGTTCTTCTCTTGGTCCAGGTAGAACATTGGTTCCCAAACTGTAGGGTGTGTGTGAGGGTTCAGTAGTTTTCTCCAACACTTTTTCAAAGAATGCACCCACTCTCCTTACTTTAGAAATGGGGGTAACATTTATTGGGGTATTCAACATCTGCAGGCTGGACTGGAGGAATCCCAAGCCAGAATTAAGATCACCGGAAGAAATATCAACAACCTCCGATATGCAGATAATACCACTCTGATGGCAGAAAGTGAGGAGGAATTAAGGAACCTTGTAATGAGGGTGAAAGAGGAGAGTGCAAAAAATGGCCTGAAAGGCAACATAAAAAAAACTAAGATCATGGCTACTGGTCCCATCACGTCCTGGGAAATAGAAGGGGAAGACATGGAGGCAGTGACATATTTTATTTTCTTGGGCTCCATGCTCAATGCAGATGGAGACAGCAGCCACGAAATTAAAAGGCAGCTGCTTCTTGGGAGGAAAGCGATGACAAACCTTGACAGCATCTTAAAAAGCAGAGACATCACCTTGCCAACATAAGTCCGAATAGTCAAAGCTATGGTTTTTCCTGTAGTGATGTATGGAGGTGAGAGCTGGACGATAAAGAAAGCAGAACGCCAAAGAATTGATGCTTTTGAATTGTGGTGCTGGAGGAGGCTCTTGAGAGTCCCCTGGACTGCAAGGAGAACAAACCTATCAATTCTAAAGGAAATCAACCCTGAGTGTTCACTGGAAGGACAGATCCTGAAGCTGAGGCTGCAGTACTTTGGCCATCTCATGAGAAGAGAAGACTCCTTGGAAAAGATGTTAGGAAAGTGTGACGGCAAGAGGAGAAGGGGATGACAGAGGATGAGATGGCTGGACAGTGTCTGCGAAGCAACCAACATGAATTTGACACAACTATGGGAGGCAGTGGAAGATAGGAGGGCCTGATGTGCTCTGGTCCATGGGGTCATGAAGAGTCGCACATGACTAAACGAACGAAACGATTCAACATCAGTCTAGTGTCAACAAAAGCATTCCAAATGGTCTCCCCTTTCGACAACAGATCTGAAGGAGGATTCCAGTCGTCCACTTTGAAAGGGTTCTTACCCTGGCTATTCCAGGGTCCAGGCCACTCTGGTGGGATATCAGGGTTCAGTAGTAATCCCTCCTCTCCTTCCAGTAGGGGGATAGTTTCTTCCTCTCGAACGTCCACCTAGTCACGCTCCGTCTCCCACGGGACTCCAGGAATTCTCTCTGCTGATTCTCCCAAATTCTCCATTTAAAACTCTCCCTTTGTTCTCTTTCCATTCTCTCTCTTTCCTCTCTCAACTTCCTCTTCCACTCCTTAGTTTCTTGCTCACCCCAGTAAGATGGTTTAGGGCTTAATTCACGTCTCCTCCAGACATCTGCTTCATCCTTAGAGACATGCAGTTTTTCCATCTTTCCTGTCCATGGATCTTCTACCCAGATCAACTCCCAGCCTACTGGCAACTCTCCTTCCCCCCTTCTTATATTGCCTCCACTACTTACCACCTTTTTCCCCCCACACCCGCCAGGGTAATCCCGGGTTCTGTAATCATTAGTCCTTTCAAATCTCCCTCCAAATTCCCCGGGTCATGTCCAGGAGGTCTTATCTTCCAGGGTGGAGGAACTGGTGGGGTCTGGCTCTCTTTCTCAATGGTTGGTGGGAGGGACGGCACTCCCGAGAGAGGGGTCTTTCTCTCTCTCCCTCCTTCTTACAGTGTGAAAGAATTCCAGGGTGTATGTACAGTTGTGCCCCGCTTTACGATTACCCCGTTTAATGACGAATCTGCTTGACGGTGAGGTTTTTGCGATCGCAAAACGATGGTTTGAATTGCTTTGCGATGATCGGTTCTCGGCTTTGGGAACCAATTTTCGGTTTACAACGATAAAAAACAGCTGATTGTTGGGTTTCATAATGGCCAATGTCTGAAGAAAATGCCCCCCCCCGCTGTGCTTAGGGACAGATTCCTCGCTGCACAGGCACCGAAAATGGCCACCCCAATGGAGGATCTTTGCTGGACGGTGAGTTTTCAGCCCATTGGAATGCATTGAACAGGTTTCAATGCATTTCAATGGGCTTTTTTATTTCGCTTTACGACGTTTTCACTCTACAGTGATTTCGCTGGAACGAATTAATGTCATAAAGCGAGGCACCACTGTACAAAGGTGTGAATGAAAAAATATTTTAATAAACTTTTTTTCAAATCCAGGAAATTAATATGGAATAATTTTACCAGAATATTTCTGTTTATTTTTAATTTTATATTACCAATTAATGCAAAATGGGGCTAGGTGAGGGTAAGGAGGTGGGAGGGAGTTTGCAAAAATCAAAAAGGCTGCATGCTGCTGAAAAGTTTGGGAACCCCTGGATCAAATGTATGGAAAGATGCCAACACCTGGGAGATCAGGCACTAATCCTCTTGACAGCCAGGAAGAGGAGAACTTAGGGTGCAGTCAGACAGGCATTTATTCCATGAGTTGAGTAGGGACATGGTGGTGCTGTGGAT